AGTATGCCTGGGTCCGTTTTTGCTCTCTGTATAAAGTGTTGTATGTTGTGCTTATGTAAAAGTAAGCTCAATATTGCTGTGTTGCAATCAGGTCAGAGAGAGAAAGACTCTTTCTTTTATTGTTGACTATTGAAATTCCATGTTCAACATTCTGTTCTAGCTCAAAACAATGTTAGCAGCAGGTTTGGTAGATTAACAGTCAGAAAGTGAATAGCAAAAACGAAAGCTGTAAATGCATCAGACATTCAAAGACTGTACATATGTGTAATTCTTTGAAGCTTCAAGCTTCAGTACTTTGGAGTACTGTCTTGTAAGTATGAGGGCTGCAAGAGAAGTCTTTCTTGTACAGATTTACATTTCGCCTTCATATGTATTTAATCTGATATCTGTCTGCATCACATGAAAAATGAAGTGGAATAATAATCTTGGAAAAAAAAGCATGCCTGTGTAGAAAACAGTTTTGACATTTTTTAGTTTGGCATTTTAAATCCGTTTTCTAAACTTTTTTACTTCTCTTTGTATGTGAAAGTCTTCAGAATTGCAGTCACATGGCACTTAACATGATGGACAGCTCTTGGGCTCAGTGTGTTATAGCAGTTTGTCAAAGAGAAGAACCAGGCGACATGTGTTGAGGTGTCATTTACTGCAACTCCAAAAAGGTGGCCAGCTGCTAAGGGTTGCCAAGTCATTAAGATAGTGCTTTTCTAAATTAAGCTCATATACCCATTTAAAACATTCTGATTGTCTTCCGAATGAGGATTTCGTAATAGCTTGCTGTGGACAAACATTAGCATTGTTTGTCTAGAGACATAAAAAATAGTGTATATATTAGTTGCAGAGAAAGCCACCATACTCCACAGTGCTGGCTCTTGAATATTTGATATATTAATACATATTTATATTCTGGAGTTTGGCCAGTGATTGTAAAGTCAGGCAGATTTAATGCCTAAAATAGTTCATAGCCTCAGAGAAAACTGTCAGTATAAAAATCACCATTTTCTCTTGGTTCTTTACACGCAGTCCCAGTATCTTTTTTTTCCCCCTGTGAAATAGAACCTGAAATTAAAAAAGAAAATTAACCACCATGTGTTTGAGCATGTACCCATTTTATTCCAAGTTCACATGCTAGTAACAGAAACATATATACATATATCTGGACCTTCTGAAATATAATTCACAATATCTATTTACTACCCTATAGACACATACAACAAGATGCAACTGAGATTATCACCCTGAATATTCACCATTGCATAAACTTCAGCGGCAACTTTTAGTTTAAAAGCCATCATAGTCAGATATAGTTTAACTCCCAGCGTTCATGGCCTGCTAAAGTTTTCAAGACAGTGCTTCCCTTAGCCAAGTAGACTAAAACATGTGCTTCTACTGGAGTAGTGGATGCTCACGTGTGGGATGATCTTGGGCAAGCAGGCCTCTGCTCTTCTGATGCTCTTAGGGTTCTCCTTCTGCTCTTTCCATAGCTGGTTGAGACACAGCACACTGAGATGCTGAAGGCAAATCCACTCCCCAAAGTACAAACAGACTGAGTGATTGCTGCCCAAGTGGAGAAATCTGGTTACATGAAATCCCTTTGGATGCAAATATTCCACTAGTGGAGTCCTACCTGCACTGGTTCCACACGATACATCTTGAACTGGTTTAAACCTCAGTTTCCACCGTAATAAGTCATTTGGGTCAGTTTAAACTCGGGATGCCCTGGGGACAATCATGACTCTTGATGGAAATTGTGTTATGAATAATGGGGTTATTTGACTATAAGTAGAAAATATGTTCCCTGTTAAATCACTCTGTCACCCCAGGCAAGAACTATTATTCTCCCAGTTCTTTCCTATGACCTTCTCTCTTCCCCCTTGTCCCTTTGTGCCAAGGGCTGCTCTATCTTTTCATTCCTGCATTTAGTAGCTCCCCTGATGGCTACAAGTTGCATTGCAGAAAGTCAAAATTGGTTTTGCCTTCTTTCTCTCTGGGGCTTAAGCTTTGGCTAAATCTACTGGGACAGCCAGATGCTAAATTTCTTTTTCAACATAATCACCCCCACCCAAAAGACCATCAGAAAAAGACAGAATAATAAATAGCAACTTGTGTGACACTGTTTCTGTGATGTAGTCCCACTATTGTTAAGAATTACTTTGGAAGTACTCTACCATGTGATATGTATCTGTGCTCCCGGAGGGAACAAATGCCAGTAGATGACATTATGTTTTATTTATTTACCCTTTTCCTGTGTGGTGTACGCAGCCTCAAGGTCAGCAGGGAACAAGATATGGAAATTCCTCAGGATCTTTGTGCTCAATGGGGACTGATAACCAGAGGATTTATTGTTTCCTCTTGCATTACATGATGGGCACAAATAGGGGAATGAGGCAGACTCTTCCACTGCAGAATGTCCACTACAGAATGCAGATAGAACTACAGCTTCTTGAAGTTCAAAAGCTATAAAAAGCTCAGTTTTCAACCTCTCCCTTCCTTTTTACACTCCCACCAAGTGAGGCCAGTTGAGTTCAGTCTTGGGCCAACCCATGTTGACCAGCCTGATGACTTTGATAGAATCAACTTTTAGTTCATTTACAATTATTTAAATCTGTTTTAACAAGTACTGTGACCAAGTTATTACTACAATTATTAAAACAAGGACAAGGACAAGTTAATATTATGTCACGGGGAACCTAAGAAGACAAGTTTTCCTTTCAAGGTAAAAAGAGCAAGAGAGTTACATCACAAATATGCCACACATTTCACTGTAACAAACTTAGTTCAGAACTCTAGTTTTTATAACATTCAGAAAAAAAATTACAAAATAATGTGAGATATGTCACAGTACAGTAATTATATTACAGTAATGTTTTATTCTTCTGTGTCTTTCAATCTTAAGCCTAACATTCTTTGAATGCTATTAGTTCTAGTCATAGTATTCTATGACTGCAAAATGAAAATTGTTACAGAGTTGCTCCTGTGCCTCACTTCTGATGCTGAGATTAGCTGTGTTAGTTGTGGATTATTCATATGAGATTATGTCAAGATGAGTTCTGGCTGGATATGGAAGGGCACATTCAAATATCAAAAGCATTCCTCACAGGGATAGTCAACAGTGTGCTGAGAATCCGCTTTGCTATAAGAAGAACAGCACTCAAGAAAAAATACTGTCACATAATTACAAGTGATAGGATAAACTCTTCTCATTTTTGGAAGCATATTAAGTCACATTAATTTTTGAAAGACATGATTTTTCTGCACAACCATACTGCATAAAAGAGTGAAAGCATTTAGTTTTCATATTTCTGGTTTAAGCATCAGAAAATAAAAATAAAAGACTCTGTCAGCTAAGCGCAGAGTTTTAGCTATGACTGTTTCCATGCTTTCAATCAAACATTTATTTTACAAAACCCAGCATGGCTCCATACATCATGAAGACGTTTACTGCCAAATGTTTTCCTTTTCATATGTACTTGGGAGAAAGTTTATTTCTTCATGTCAGCAAAAGGAAATAGCTGAAAAATTGAAATGCTATCAACTACATCTTCAAAGTTCTATTCATATATATATATATATATGTAAAATTTTTTTGCTAAATCCAACTTTTTATGTTATTACGACCAATTTTATAATAGCACAGGAATTCCAGTGCATGATGTGTCAGCAGTGGAAAATAACTGCCCACCCTCAAAGGCTTTACAAAACATAGGATGGGAGCTAACTCTGAGCCTTTTCTTATTCCAATGTACAATTAAATTGTCTACTAGACCACAGTGCAGCTTTTACATTTTTATACTTTTTTTACAGTTTTACCTTATTAATACAAGTAATTTTAACATGAAGCCATCTACTGCAAGTGGGACTCATTGCACCTGACTCCAGCCGCCTAGAAATTAAGTGCTCAGTATAAGCTAGTGTTCTCAAATAGTTCTGTAGTCAGTGTGTCAGAAACACACTTTCAGAGGATGATTCCTCCCATCATTAGATTGATGTCTGAGATGAAAATGAGAAATAATTCTGCTTTTTTCCCAGTGGCTAGAACCACTTTCCTGGTGTAAAACATTTTTCCACAGTCTCATTATAGGATAGGTTGACTACAGACAGAATCTGTACAAATGACTCTTAGAAAAATACTACTTTCTACTTTATAGAAACAGTCCCATTAATTTAAATTTGTGTTCCTGTCTAAGAGTGCTGTAATTTGACTGCCAGATTTTCTAATTGTTTCCAATACCCTGCAATAAAAGTGGTGTGTTTGGAAAGGAATAATGAAGAAGTGAATTTAGCCTATGACATGAATCTGATATTTTATTGTTTATATCTCTGTAAATCAATACGTAAGTAATTACATGTGTAAGAGAACTACACAATGAAATAAATGTGTCCTATTTTGAGAAGGATAACATGACACCCAGATTTTCCTCATTAGGATTTTAGTAATTGTGATTCAGAAATGAGCAACATGTACAAATAATATGCAGGGGTCTGATTACCAGCAGTTGGATGACTAAGGTTCTCTGTACATATTGTCCTAAATAGGTAGTCTTCAGTTTATGAAGCTTACCACACACATAGCAGGGATATTTGCCCTTTGGAACTGAAGACTCTGTCTTGACTTAAGCATTTTCACTCAGGCTCCTTGCAGCATCAAAATGAAGTCTATGTGAATGAAATTTGCACACAGGCTTAGACGCTTGAAGGTAGGACGCTTGTAGTCTGCACTAACCATGTGCCCAGGGTAAACAAAACTCAATACATTTATGGCATCGATAAAGGTATCACACATTACACCTAATAATAGTAATGGTTGCCTCATTAAAAAAAAAAAAGAAAAAAAGGAAAAACTGCTGTTGCTAAAGCGTTATCCTTATGCTTCATTGTACAGCAATCCCTTATAAAATTCACATTTCATGAAAATGTCTTTCAGTTCAAGAGTCCTCCACTTGTGTTATTTCTATTACTATGCTTATGGCTTCAAATATTTTTTCCCCTTCTTGTTTCCATAGGAAATGATCTGTTTCTGGTTGCAGTGCATGAACTGGGACATGCTCTGGGCTTAGAGCACTCGAATGATCCCACTGCAATCATGGCTCCGTTTTACCAGTATATGGAAACCGACAACTTCAAACTACCTAATGATGATTTACAGGGCATCCAGAAGATATATGGTATGTCATATTTGTATTAGTAATTTCAGGTTCTCATTTTAGAGTGCATTTGAGAATCTCTTGTCCGCTCCACTTCCCCAAGAAGTTTGTTAACGTAGACCTTGCCAGTCCCAGTCCCAAAGGCCTTCTTGTGAGAAAGCCAAAGGTTACAATGAAGCTCTTTTACTTTGTTCTTAAATGTTCACAACTTGCATTTAAATCTACACTCAGCAATCTTAAATATTTTAAGAGGCTGTAAAGGAAATATCTGCAAAGGGATCTGAAACTATTAAAATATTAAGAAATGCACGTCTTAACCATAACGATCTTATTTCCACAGTACGCCGAACTCATATTACTGGACGAATTGATTGCTTCTCATTTTATCAGTTATAATACCAAATAGTTCCCTGGGCAGAGCAGTTCTGTGGTCCTAGAAAACTCTTTCTTGTGATAAATAAAATAAATTGATCTCAAAAGAATGTTATTACCAGACCAAGATTTTGAGCTGCACAGCTTGAGAGAGTCCCACTTCTTTAAAATACTATTCTTTCATTCATGTGGCCTGAAATAAAAAACACATCTGGTGTACATAAATTGTGAATTCACTGAGTTCATTGAGAAAGCAAAGTAATTGGAAATAAAATAAAATAAAATAAAATAAAATAAAATAAAATAAAATAAAATAATAACAGTAATCTGATTAGAGGCTACATATTACACTAACTTCTGTATTACTCTTCCTTGTGTTTCCAAAGACATATTTTTGCTCTCTTTTAAAGACTTTAGTTCTTCAGATTTCTGTTAACTAGATGGGTTTTTTAATCTTTTTATTTTACTTTACTATTTTACTTTTCTTCAGTCATAAAAATCACTATCCATATGTTATTGCCATGTATCCAGCATCTATCATTTGGAACTGCTCCCAGTTAATTTTGCACTTGTGTTCAGTTTGATATTCTTGATAAAGATTATCAATCAATTAGGGCCGTTCCTTGCTTATCTTTTGCTTATCTTGGCTGTTGTAAAAGATACCTATACTGGTGCAGATTTACTGTATCACTGATCAAAACTCTGCAGCTTCCATGAAATGTTTTATATTAGCAATCTTTTTAAAATACTATATTAACAAGTGTTGATATATTTGGCTGTTTTCATAAACCTTGAAAAGTTTGCAAAATGATTGGCTGATCAAGTTTTGTTTGGTAGTTTTTTTTTTTTTTTTCTTTTTATGATTAGCTGGACAGGAAAGTTTTTTCTCATGACCTCATAAGTTGGTAGTCTAGACTTGAGTGCTAGACAAGAGTACGTTGTCCATACACTAACTATTAAGCTCTAACAGATGTGAGCTGTGCATGAGGAGAAATGTGTTACCCCAGGGAAGTGATATCTGACATCATCACCAAATGGCATATGAAAACTTTGTTTGGGATTTAAAATCTTTCCAACATGAGCTACTGCAGACTGATTCCTCTGCTCCTTCTCTTAAAATCAAGAGGTGATCAGCAACCATATGCCTAAATAAAAATGTCATACCTATTAAAATAATTACTTTGGTCCACAATAATTCTCAAAATACCATGATTAATTGCAAATTATAAATGTCACAAGCCTTAAAGTTATGAATGAAATAAATGCCTTCTTTAATTGACAACCATTTAAAGAGTGTTAATCAGTAAACATTCTTTCTTTAAAAGTGTACTTTTTTTAAACAAATGTCAGAAATTCAAATGCCATTTTTTTCAATTTTAGAGTTATTTCAATATTCAGACTCTTCCTGAAGCTTGTCATGCAAATTACGCTTATTTTTAATGTCAAAATGATAGTGTATTTAAATTATTTGGAGAGAGGGCAAAATAAAATGTTTGCCTAGCTTCCAGAAATACTGCTGATCCAGCTGAAATATCATTTTGTATGCGGAAAATATGACTAGAGGTAATAGTAGGTCTGGAAAGGGAAAGACATTTTCGGTACATCCACTGTAAGTCATTGGGGTTCTGAACAGGATCTATCTGGAATGGTCATAGGACTTTCAGATAGAGAAATTATGAATTTAATAGTTATTTTATCTGTCATCAAACCCTATATATTATGTCATTTTTTTTCCTGAATCTTATGCAGGAAAATAACCTTGTTCTTGCCAAAGCAGACCTTTTGCAGTTGGTGAAGTACATGCTATGAATTAGTTCTTACTAGTTCTTAAGTATTGGATGCCTTTGCATCCTGAATCTTGTTCTAATAAAGAATAAAGACTCTGAATAACATAAAATTAATTTGCTGCATTTCTGCTACAGTTCTCCGCTACAGTGCCCTGTCATCATTGTACCCTTTAACAACATGGGAAAGGCACATAAAGTCACTTTTTCCATTCTTTTCTGCTGTAGGTTTTACACTGCTTGCAGCAAGTTCTTGTGTATTTCTTTCTGGAATGCCGTTGATAAACATGCAAATTATGTGCTACCTCCTGCTACTGTTTTTAAAGGTCCACCTGACAAGATCCCACCTCCAACAAGACCTCTGCCCACAGTGCCCCCACATCGTTCAATCCCTCCAGCAGACCCGCGGAAGAATGACAGACAGCCTAAACCTCCCCGGCCACCCAATGACAAGCCTACTTATCCTGGAGCCAAACCTAACATCTGTGATGGGAACTTCAATACTCTAGCTATTCTTCGCCGGGAAATGTTTGTTTTCAAGGTAGGAGGCTGTGAATTTTTCTTGTGAATGTTACTTCAAGTGTCTACAATTCTATTAAAAAAAAAAAGAAGAACTCATTCATCATGACTCCCTCTTTCCCAGCCTTCTCACAGTTAGAAAGTTCAAGAGACAAATTAAAAAATAAACATATACATGGCTTAAATGTCTAGCAGAGGACTGGTGTAATGTTCTATTTTGGGAAAATACGTATGTCAGCAGAAACTGTAATGCCTCAAAATATGAGGCTAAGTAAATGCTGCATGTCATGTAAAGGTAACATAAAGCATAAATCAACTAATGTATAGGAGCTAATTAGGATGATTTTGTTGGAGACACAACCACATCCAGACATGCTACAGATATTGTGTCATCAACATACACTTTTTTTGAAAGGAGCTATAATTTTAACTTTACAGCTAGATACATCATTTACAAAAGAAGCTTGTTATTGTGTAGTTGCATAGAAACCACAACATCTAAGTAGTAATGGGTTGTGCCATAAGAATCTTGTGCCATTGTTTTCCTTCACCTTCTGTCTCTAAGCTGAGATGTAGTATGTACAATGAACTGAACAAAACAAACTGGACCAAAAGACAATCTTCTTTTGACAGAAAGACTTCACTGTCTCATGGACATCAAAACTATCCTTAGGAGAATGATCTGCAATATGATTTCCTGAAGATATTCTGAAGTGAAGAATAATTATGGATTCATTACTTCCAGTAGTTAGGAAGATTTTTTACCATGAATTGATGAGGGTTTTGTCAGTCCTTTTGTGGTTGTCAGGCCTTTTCGTTTGAATAGATGGTATCTCTTCAAACAACAGGAGGTTCTCAACCATCAGTCTTCCAATGACTAAAACTCAAAGGTTAAGGAAGAATCTAATTTTCTAACTTGACATTAAACAGGATATTAAAATACCTACTTCAAACTCATGTCATCCACCTCAAGAGCAATAGAACATATTCTCATTTATTTTAGACATAATTCGATAAATTCGATGAAATGTTATCCAACTAAACAAAATTTCCTGTCTAGCCAAGTCTGTGTTCTTAGATAAATAGATTCACCCTCATTACTAGCCACTTTTTCCTCTTCTGATTGAAAAAAAAAAATCGTGCTCACTCCAAAAGTGTTAACATCTTACTGCCTTAGCCTGTATTTACAATACAGCTTTTATGCTTATTAGTTTGCAAACTGCATTTATGTTTCAAAACTTAAATTACATTTGTGCTCCACATCCCAGTGAGTATGGTAGAATATTATCAGAGAATTACAACTAGAAACAGCATGTTTAGAGATATCATAGTTGGTCTGGCTCTCCAAAATGAAGTCATGGCCACTATAAAAGCAAGGTATTGTGGAAGACAAGAAGGAAATGACCTTTTTTGGATGATTTTCCTTAAATTTGGAAGATTTTCCTTAAGGAAGAGTTTCCTTAAGTCTCACAATCCCCCTTGTCTTCTCAGGAATATGCTAGAGCATGTCTTCATGGCATGTCTTCGGTTAGAATGTTAGAACAGTAAGCAAAAGATTTGACTTAATATAGGTCCTGACGCTATGGCCCTCCCCTTTTTGGTTTGAGAACTAATTTGCTAGTGAAGATTTTGGTATGCTAAAACAACATAATTAGCTGGCAGTATCTTTTCTTTTTGGAAGGAGCAGGAAAGTGGAGAAGGAACTAAGAAAAGTTAAGGCTTCTTGGTATTTTTCTGCTTTCCTTTGCATACTTTCAGGCAGCAGATTACAAGGAAGAATTCAGCATACTGGATTGTAGCAGGAGCTGTGTGAGTATAAAAAGAAAAAGGGGTGAAATTTAGGCAATTACAGTAATTCAGGAAGTGAAGCTGGAACTCCTGTGGCCTGAGGTTAAAAAAAAAAAAAAAAAAAAAAAAGTGTCTTGCCCTTGTCCAATAAAGACTGAACAAGAAAAAGATTGGGAATGAGGGAGCAAGGGGCTGAGAGCCAAGTGTGGAGAGATGGAGAAGGAGAGAGAACTGTGAGAGGACTGACAGCAGTCCTGCATCAGGTGGGAACAATTTAGGAGGAATTATGACTTTCACTGGATGGTTAACAGATGAATTAAATGAATAAAGCTGGAGGTTAATGGAATTATATCCTCTGCTTTCTGCCTCTTTATCCACAAGCATGTAATCATTGTGGTATGGCAGGTTTGAATGCCTTCTGAATAGCGTGTATGCCATATACCAGTTTTGACTTGAAAATAGCCACTTCTTTACAGTTCTTTATCTTACAAGCCAGTCTTGCTTAAAGGTGCTCAGCTTGTTTAAGTAATCCTTGAAGTTTCTTGGCAGTTTATCCATAAAGAAAAAGAATATGAGCCTATTTGCATAACTAAATTCTAATTTAAGCATGAAAGTGAAGCACAGAAGGTAACAGTTTGAGATACACTGTGGATTTTCATCGTAGATAACAAACACAATATTAATTTCAAGAAGATTGTTTTCTCTCTGCTGTTGAGCTATTAGGAGATACCTTTATCAAACTTTTCAAATACAATTGCTGTTTTCGATCAAATTGATGAGCTCTGTTTGTGCTTTTAAGAATACCTAGCACTGTTAAATGGTTGTATCTGGGGTAAAACTGAATAACTGTAAACTTGGGGTGGGGATATATGGAATTTACACTTACCCGTCTCTTTTTTATTGTTTTGCCGTCGTTTCAATAAAGTAACAATCCTAGTAACACTTGGCCAAATTTGTACATCTCAAAAATGTAATCTCAAAAAAAGGAGGAACTGTTTTTAAATTAGATACCCTTAAAATACTTTTGCTAGCTATAATGTTTTGGGCTATGACATGTTAGTTAAAAGTTATAGTTAATAGTTAAAAATATTACTTAAAATCAATGTATCATAACTATTGGCTTAAATTGTCTCCAACTGTTATTTTAAAATGAAGGTTGTCTTAATTGAAAGCATTTTTTAATTACTGTTATTATTTAAAACATGCTTGAACTGGTACAAGCAACCATCAGGACAGCAGAATTTGTATGCCAGATTTATGAGTGCCAAGTTTTTAATCTTGAGATTCCGGTTAGCTTCTGTATTTATGCTGAATGCAATTAGTATTTAGCTATCATGCTCATTTCCAATCTATTCTCCATGTATTTTCTCCCTCTGTTTAGTTAGAACTTTCCTGGGACACAGAAAATGGCTGAAAAAATGCAGGAAAAAAAAAAAAAAAGTGGCGTTCCTGTTCTTGGAAAATTGTGCAAAGTGGTATGAAAAGGAGCCCCACTGTCTAAAGTCACCAGAGAAGTTCTTTTAGTGAAGATGTTTCGCGACATATATTTCCATTTTCTGCCTCTATTCTGTGACAGTCTTGATGTTTTTTCAGTCTTCTGTAGCAAAAAGAAGAGTTTTGAAGGTGACCTGGCATGTCATAGAAATGAGAGTACTTATGCTAATGTCCTACAAATCTATTACATAGTTAAAAAACTGTTCATGGGCAGATCTTGAAGTGGTTGCACAAAATTGTTTATCTCAGAGGATGTCGTATCACACTTACTGCTTAGTCTGTTGTTTTGAGGAGTTATGTGGTTTGTCTTTGACTCTGTATGGTGGTTGTTCCTTCAACAGTCTGTGTTACTGCTGTGAATATCCTATTTATTTATGTCCCTTTTCATTTCACATATTGCATATAACAAAATCCTTAGTTTTTGGAGCAGGTTGCATCCTGAAAAGCACACTGCATATGAGGTACTTCTCCTGCATAATCAGCAAGGTAGAGCAGGTCGCATCTCTTTAGTTATGTGATAACACTTTTTACTTCACCCAAGAACATTTTGTAAAGATTGCATTTGTCCTTTTTACTTTGTTTAATGCTAAATGTTTAACAAACCAACAAATGCATCTTATGTAATCCTTACCAGTTTTAGTATTTCTGCTAGAAAAGTAAGCTGGTTCCTTGAAAAATTGCCACCGTTATGTAGTAGATTGCTTGTTATAATGTAATATAAGTAAAAAGTAAAAATGTTTAGCAAAAGAAGGAGCTTGTCCATCAGAGAAATAGCATTTACAGCTAAGACAAATGTCTTCTGAAATGTTACATTACAGATGGTAGAATAAGGAACCAATTTTCAAAAGGCCTTAACAGGCTGTGTTTTACTATTTTATAGCAGTTTCTGCTCAACTTGCAGAAATTTGTTTTCTGACTCTTCATCTGCTAAGCACCATTGTAAAAACATTTATGAAGTGCCAAACAAGCCAAGGCAATTAAGCTCTCACTACCCTTGGCATTAGTTTAGACTGCTATTGCTTTCATACCTAACTGTATAGATTCCATTTAAAAACTTTCAGAAATGTGTGTCATATAAAGTATGCTATTAAACACAAATAAAGAATAAAATATCCTTCTCTTAGTATGTGGTAAAATACATAGTTAAAAAATAGCTATTTATAATTTTATATTTCATGTATTTAATAATATAATTTATATTTAATAACATTTATATTTACAATTAGTAATCCCAACAAAAACGTATGAGACAAAGGAAAAACGCTAACAATGCTAACAACAAAGCAACAGTTACAGTATAAGACTTGAAGCCACATTTTTTTTCAAAACTCTTCTTGGCTGTTTGTGTAGCTGGATTTTGTCACAGGATGTTGTGAATGTCTGTGCCATCAACTGCCGCCTGGGAAGATTCAGCAGAGGATGCTGACACTTTGGGGTAGAAGTAGACATTTTGGGGTTTGAGGGAAAAATACAGCATCTCAGCTGTAAAAACAAAACTCAGTGCAGTTTCAATATATCACAATAGGCTGAGCTCATTGGAAAAGTATAGGATAGGCACTAAAACAAGCTGTTGGATGTCAAAAAGAAAATAATGGTGAAATGTTGGAGTAGAAATTGTCATAGTTGCTGGGGGTTTTTTATATATATGCAGATACTTTCTGTGGCTCATATCAAAATATTTTCTAAATGTTACTTAAATCTTTCAAGGCCTCTCAGCTTAGGAAGGGGTTTAGCTAATAT